CCTTTTTTATTAAAAAAATAGTTTTGGCATAAAGTATGGTTTTTTAATTTTTGAAAGCTCCTAAAACCAGCATTGCAAAAAAGAATAAAATTGTATTTTTTCCAGACTACTTGGCCCAACATGAAGCAGAAAAGCCAATTCAAGGCACTCTAGATATAGGCGTAAAACTCAATCAAAAAATGATTTGACCTGTAAAAAATTGACAAATAACATATGTATGTATTCAGAATTTTATTTTGAATCGAAATATGTAAAAATGCATAGGGTGTTTCATTAAAAAATAAAAAGTTAAGACCATTTCCGGTGAAACCGGAAGTGACAAAAATATGTTAAATATGTCAAAAAGTTCTAAATTACACTTTATAAAGGTCACCCCAGTTTCATGACCCTAGATAAAAAAACAAATTTTTGCGATAAACCACGAATTTACTAGAAAATGGTATTATCATTAAAAATTAATAATTCCGAAACGACTATCAACTTTAAACCAAAAAAATATAAAGTAAAAAAAATGTGGCAATGTCAAAATTTTGCCCTCAATTTTTTTGTTGCTTTTTTTTAGAAAAAAATTGAGTAAATTCACTATTTTTTGTATTAAGTAAAAATGCCACTCTTAAAAGGAGAAAAATCCATGTTTTTGTCCAATTTTCAAAAATTTCCTACATGGGAACAAAACAAATACAGGCCCCATCAATTTCGATAGAAAAACTGTAAAAAAAAATTGTTGAAAAATAACCCTTTTTGCATGGTCGATTTGAGATGAAAAGGCCCATGAATAACATCAAAACTAAAAAATAAACAAGTTTACATGCAATTTTGAAGAAAAATATATGTAACCAAATACCAATTTTATGACACTTATTTTTCAACTACCAAACAAATAAACCAAAATGAAGATTGCTAAATTACTAAATCTATTTAAATAATAACAAAATCATCACACTTGGCTGCCAAAATAATAAATGTTATCAAAGCTACAGCTAAAAATATTGTACAGTTGAATGAAATTGACAATAAAAAAGTTTGTGTAAAACATCAAATGTCATAAGAGCGAGATAACTCATTTTATAGAATTTATAATGTTTTTAAAGGTAAAATATTCTGCCTCAAAACAAAATTGTTACAACCTATTCCCAAACATCATAAAATAATGAGAATAAAGTCAATTTCATCAAATTTTCGTACCAAAATAAAACAATCAAATGCATACACCTAAATAAAAAATAAAAGAAGTATACAACAACAAGGTCATGCTGCGTGAACTGACCTGGGCGGCGACCTCATAGAGGGGGGCGGCGAGCGGAAGCGGGAACCGCCCCGACGCCCCGGGGGCGGAAGCGGCGGCCCTGGGGACCGCCTGTACAGGGGGGAACCGCCCCGCTCCACTGAGTACGAACGTGAACGAGACCTATAAGTATCCAACGTTTTTATTTTATTTACCATCCTCTTTAGTTTTTTATTATTATTATTTTACTTACTATACCTAGTGTACTCGTGTGAGTACACAATATACAGGGTGATAAAATGCCGGACCATCGAACGAAAATGTTTCAAAAGACTGACAATATATAGGCGTTTAAAAATACGTAAATTTGATAACTTGGAAACTTTTTACAAAGGAATCTATTGAAGTCAAAAAAGATATTATAAAACTTTGACACCATATTTTTTTGGTATTAATTTTGATTCGATTGGCTCAGTGGTGGCGATTTTATAAGGGTTTGAATTTGAAGTTTCCTTACAATCCCAAGAAAGGCTTCTCTAGCCAATCAGCATTTTAAATTTGGTATTGATTTTTGTTGTAACTTGAATTGTTAATATATTTCAGCACTTTGTTTTATTGTCAATAAATATTTATTTTTTAATTATAAATAGATTTTTATAGAGATGGGAATCGGAAAGTTTCCATTTTAAGGAAACTTTCCGTTTTGGAAAGTTTCCAATTGGGAATTTATTTTCATTTTGAAAGTTTCTTTTAAGCTACCGGAAACATTCCTTGGAAACATTCCTTGGAAACTTTCCTTGTTTTTTTCATTTAAATGTCAATTGTTTAACCGCTGATTTTCGTTAAGGCCATGATACAAGGCCAAGAAACTTTGAATAAGAATTTAATGTGTGTTAATTTAAGGCAGAAGAAGATATATAGAGATATATAGATATATATTTATATATAAGATATATATAAATAATGTAAGTTATGTTACATAACCTCAATGAAGCATCATCACAAAAAAAAACCTGGAATAAAAAAATTTTCGCAATAAAAATTTTTTTTTTGAAACTTTTGGAAAATTTCGGGAATTTTCGATGGAAAGTTTCCGGGAATTTTCGTCAAATGGGAATTTTCCCATCTCTAGATTTTTATTTATTTAATTATTTTAAAAAATCTTTATTAGTTTTAACTATTTAAACTTAAATAATATATAAATATATTATATTTACTATAATTTTAAAGAAAAAATGATATTTTGCGAAAATGAATAAACGAACAAATTATTTAAAAGAAGGCATGGGAATCAAACATAAAGCAACATAAAACATGCAGTACGTTAAGTACAGAGAAAGTCTAAAGATAAAAAAACAAAGAGAAGCAAACCATAGAAGAATTGTCTAATTGTTAAAAAAACTTAATACAATTGTGTTTTTTTAATAATATACTACACAAAAGTCTAAAGAGAAGAGCAGGAAATTATAAAAGATAGAAGGATTGTCTAACTATTAAAAAAAATACCTTATAATAAATAACTTAATACAATTGTATGAGGCGCCGTTTGTCCGTAAATTATTTTTGCTATATATAAGAATATTTTTTATATATAAACTTTAAATTTCCTATATATATAGAAACTTTTTAGTTCAGATAATGCCGCTTGAGAATGAGGGCGCTTTGTGGTATTCAACTAAAAAGCACTGTGCCAGAGTGTGCCAATGCAAAGTTTTGGTCAGTGTTTCCAACATAACGGATCTTCGGCCAGATCTAGCGGAACAAAATGATAGCAAAAAGTATAGGATTTTAGTTTTTTTAAATACTTATAGGTAAAATATTGGTCGGTTGGTCTATTTTTATTGAAGAAAACATTTCTCTTCTTTGGCCGTCTCTATTTTTCTAAATAAACACGGCTTCGTTTTTACTAATAGGTATTTAAAAAAACTAAAATTTCTTACGTTTTGCTTCTCTTGTCAATTTATAAAAAAAAAAGATTTTTTTTTTAACTTGGACTCTTACAAATTAAATTATATAGGTACAAATCTTATGACAAATACCAGTCGATATTATGTTCAAGTTTCCGTTAAAAAATCCGTCAGCCGTAAGAGTATCTTTTTCCCCACGACCTTTATTAAAATCTGCCAGATCTGGCGAAACGTTATGTTGGAAACACTGACCAAAACTTTGCATTGGCACACTCTGGCAACAGTGCTTTTTAGTTGAAAACCACAAAGCGCTCTCATTCTCAAGCGGCATTATCTGAACTAAAAAGTTTCTATATAATATAGGAAATTTAAAGTTTATATATAAAAAATATTCTTATATATAGCAAAAATAATTTACAGACATATGGCGCCTCATACAATTGTGTTTTTTTCATAATATACTTTAAACACGAAAGTCTAAAAAGAAGAGCAGTAAACAAAGATTAGTAAATTATTAAAGGTAAAAGAATTGTCTAATTAAGATTAATAAATTATTAAAGGTAAAAGAATTGTCTAATTATTAGAAAAATAATAAATTATAATAAATAACTTGATACAATTGTGTTTTTTTAATAATTTACGTTAAAAATTAAAGTCTAAAGAGAAGAGCAGAAAACCATAAAAGATAGGATTGTCTAATTAAAAAAAATACCTTATAATAAATAACTTCATACAAAAATTATTAATTAATAACACAATTATTGTGTTTTTTTTCATAATATCCTTTAAAAACGAAAGTCTAAAGAGAAGAGCAGAAAACCATAAATGACAGAAAGATTATCTAATCAATTAAAAAAATACATTAAGTATAATAAATAACAAAACAATTATGTTTTTTTTTTAATAATATACTTTAAAAACGAAAGTCTAAAAAGAAGAGCAGTATACTACTATAGTAAACAAAGAGAAATAAATCATAGAAGGTAAAAGGATTGTCTAATTATTATACAATTATGTTCTTTTCATAATATACTTTTAAAACGAAAGTCTAAAGAGAAGATAAAAAAACCATAAAAGAAAGAAAGATTATCTAATCATTTAAAAAAATACATTATAATAAAAAACTTAATCCAATGTTTTTTAATAATATACTTTAAAAACGAAAATCTAAAGAGAAGAGCAGTAAACAAAGAGAAATAAATCATATAAGGTAAAAGGATTGTCTAATTATTAAAAAAATAACTTATAATAAATAACAATTTACTTTAAAAACGAAAGTCTAAAGAGAAGAGCAGTAAACAAAAACCATAGAAGATAAAAGAATTGTGATTATTAAAAAAAATAACTTTAATAATTTACTTTAAAAACGAAATAATGGTGGTCACCAAATAAATCCAGATGCCGCATCTTCTACACGAGAATTGATAATTTTGGTTAACAAAAATGAATAATTTTTGAATGTCACTTTATAAGATATGAAATAATTAAAGACTGGGTCTGAGATTTATTTAATTAGCAATAATAAACGATAACATCCCTTGTAGTCAACTTTAATAATTTTTTGCTCGGAAACCAGACGGTCAATCTTTTTGAAACTTTGTAAATGTCTTTTGAGTAGACTCCACTACAACCTAGAATTTTTTCAACATTATCTTATAGCGAGTAATATCGTGCCCGACCCTCTTTAAGTAAGAAGACCAGCAGAACATTTTCGTTTACTTAATCCGACACTTTTGAATCACCCTGTACATTTTTTAATCCAACGTTTTTTTGTCGGATTTTTTACCAAAACGTTGTTAATGTTATAAAATAATTAAACAAACAATTAAAGGAACCCTCATTTGGACCCCAAAAGAGACATGACTTACCGGCTCATGGAGAAGGATCTGGACCTGCTTCTGGAGCCTCTCCTGCGCGGGCTGCGGCTGCGCTTGCGCCGCATCGGGGGCGGCGATCGGCTGTACGACCTGCTGCGCGACCGCGAGCGGCTGTAGCTGCGCCTCAGGGCGCGCGCCTTGTTGCGCCGCTCGCGCTCGTCCTTCTCGCGCAGCATGCGGTTGAAGGCCGCCAACGGGTCGTCGATTATGCTGCAAGAAAATGCGAATTTTAAGTACACGGTGTAAAGAAAACGACGGATAAACTCTCGCGCAATGTTGCTCTCCACTTCGTCACCCTAATATAACAAGGTTGTATGTTAAAAAACCAACAAATTTGAGTTTATGCTTCTACAAGGTTTTATATAATCCTTCCTTGACATACAAATTGAAAATAACTCTATATATATGTATAGAATATACATTCTATAGAATTATTTTTAAGCGGTACTGTATGTGAAGCGTAGGCCACATATAATCCTGTAGAAACATAAACTTAAATTTTTCGTTTTTTTTAACATACAACCTTGTTATATTAGGGTGACGACTTGTTTCAGCATTTCAGAGGTTGCTATGGAACGCTATTTAATATTTAATAGTTATCAAACGTTCTACTATTTAATAACTTGCAATTGTGTTATATGGATAAAAGTAAACCTTTTATGGAGAAAAGTTATATTTTATACATAGTTTTAGCAAATGTCGTTTATTGCAAAAAAGAGTTTTGGCAAGTATCGTATATTGTTAAAAGTCAAAGAGTTGTAAGTAGCTATTTATATTAAAAGATGTCACAAAGCTTTGTAGACTAGCAGGTTATTGTAAAAATAGTTATTGCAACACTAGTGTGTTGAAAAACCTTATTAATTAAAAGAATATAAAAGTCAAAATACTTTTTGCAAATGTGGTAGACTTTGTAGTTAATTTTTAAGGTTTATGCGATTGTGCTTTATGGAAAAAAGTAAAGCTTTTATGGGGAAAATTTAAATATTATACATAGTTTTGGTTTTAGTCCTATTTGCCTATTTTTTTATGTTTCCAGTCCAGTTCATGGACTAAAATTAACCACTAAATGACAATTAGTAAATGTAAATACAGTCTCGCGCTATGCACGCGCCACAACCACCGATTTGACCAATTAGGGCCGCGCTTATTTTGATTTGATTCTAAAAAAAGTAACTACATATAATATTTTTGATTCAGCGCTTGATTTTTCAAAAAGCTACCAAAAGCACTTTTTTCATGATTTTTCAAATTCATGTAGAGTATGGAAATTTTTTTTCTTCAAAAAAACATTAGCAAATTCTTGTAGAACATTTATTTATTGGTTGTTAAGTCAGAACATTCCGTGGACCAAAAAAGAAAGCAAAAAAAATCGATTTTTTTTATTACGGTATTCGTTAGGATTGAGCGTTGCACTTTTTTCATCTAAAAATCTCAAAACTAGAAACTTCAAGCTTCAAATTGCCTTTTTTACGGCTCCAATACGACCATTTTTCGCAAAAAAAAATGTTATCCTTTAATTGTTTGTATTAGTGTAGAAGTTTTACATTGCAATTGGTTTCTAATGTGGAAACTACCAAATAATATTTTTTTATATAAAATTTAAAATTTATTGATAAACTATGGTAAATAATAAATTGCAACAATTAAATATATATTATATTTATTGTAGGCGCCATTGGGCCAGTACGGCCAAGCTAAAAGTTATTCACTTTATTATTAATATACATTTTACTCAAAATTTCATTTTGATAAAAAACAAAAAAAAAACCGTTTTTTTTTAATTTTTTTTTTACATCTGAAAAAAAACCGTTTTTTTACATCTTTAATAATACCTAAAGGATTTTAAAAGCCAAGCCAACAGAGACTCCCATTTCTCATCAAGATAAATCTGTAGACAACGAAAAAAATATTGTCACCAATTGCTTATTTCAAGAGGTTGTGGGAAGTCTTCTTTACCTTTCTATTAAGACTCGATCCGATACAGGAGAAGCAGAGTACATCGCTGCTGCCCAACATTGTAGAGATGAAATATTTTAAATCAGTTTTGGAAGAAAAATTAAAGTTAATAAGACAAGAAAATGTATCTACATCGATCTAAAGTATCACCTGATCAAAGATGAGTAGAAGAAAGGCTGGTTTAAAATTTTCTACTGTCAGACTGATGAAAACAGAGCAGTTTTTACTAAGCCATTGCAGCATGTCAAATTTAAATTCTTTAAAAACAAACTCATGAACTGTGAATAGTGATTGATATATTTTTGCAGGGAGTGATTGTTCTTGAGGAAGTGTGTTGAAGTTTGTGTCAATGTCAAAATATAAAATTTAATTATTGATCTGTTAATATTATTTATTATCATGTATGTTAAAAAAATATATAGTTATACAAATATTCAACGATTTAAGAACAAATTGTTATCAAATTATTTAAAACTTTAGCAATTTAAGGTCTCATTTGAGTACTTACAAGTGCCTCTGTAAAAAACACAACCTTTAAAACGATTTTTAATTGTAAACAACATAAAATGGCCGCAGTTAGAGTCTGTGCAGTTTTTTGCCTAACCTCGAAGTTTGGATTTGATTAACAAATTTTTGTTGCATGGTAACTTTTAGTTCAACTCTTTTTATATCTAGTTTTTGCAAATGCCGAAAACAAACAACTTTGACATTTTTTGTCTCGCCAAATTGAAGACCAGAATTTTTTAATTATTTTTAGTTTATCCGTCAATTTCTTTAATATTTACGAATTGCGAATATCCACTGTTTCGCGCAGCAGGTTTATTTAATTTTACTCACCCAGGTGGAGTTCTCTCCCTGATCCCCCTTCTCCCGTAATCCCTCCCGTGGTGCGGTCTCGAGCCGGGCGGATAATTCGGATTGTAATTGGGAGGCGGGCCGGCGATTGGCGGCCTGGAATTGTCGAATAGAGGTCTCGGACCGCCGGGGAAACCCCTAAAACATTTTCTTTGAAAAAATCGCACGAAAAAGCGCGGAAAACTTACGGTTGCGCCATGTACGGCGGCGCCGCCCCCGGCGGCGGCAACCTGAAGTTCGGAGGCGGCCCGGCGGTCGGCGGGAAACCGCCGATCGCCTGAGCTGGCGGGTACGGTCCTGGAATATTTGGCGGAGGTCCCTGGAATTAATTAATTCGAATTAGTATGTAGGGTAATGACACCAGTAATTGCCATTATAAGCTAGTGTTTACACAAAAAAAGCTAAAAAAGTACCAGAAGAAATTTAGATTTCGTCCTAATAAAAAGCCATGGTGGTTAATAGATACTTATAGAAGGTCACTAAATTACCAAACATTAAAAATTAAAGACATAACTAAGTACAATATACTTTTTTTTTATTGAGGTATAGAGGACTAGTAATTGCCATGACCATTTTAAAAAAAAACCAGTAGTTGCCAGTGTACCTGGCCAGTAATTGCCACTAATTTATTTTATTAAATAAAACAAAAAAATGGAAAATGGCATACCACCTTGGCAAGCAGCCAATGCAGATTCTTTACTTTCTTGGGAATAGCGAAAAAAGGGCTTGTTTTTTGGTTCCATGTTGATCAATTTGGATTTTATACCTGGATCAATAATTACCACTAAAGTGAACCAGTAATTGACACATTCAAAAAGAGGTGGAAATTACTGGATTCTCTTTGAATATAATGTTCTTATTAATGTCAAGTATAAACTAAATATTATAGGTTAGTTTAGAGCTTTAATAAAGGTAATACGATAATCCAAAATTCTCCAGTAGCTAATTACCACAAATGGCAAATATTGGGTTAAAAGAAAAAAAATGCTCCAGTAATTGCCACTACTCTAAATCAAAATATTCTTTTAATTTAACGAACAATATGCGTTTCATTTAAACTACTTAGCATATATGCCTATTGCACAAACAAAACTCAAATTGATTAACAACATATGCCAATATCATGAAAAACTAATCTTACACTTTCTTAACCAAAGTCACAAGAAATCTTTTATAAACAGCTGATTCAACAAGTTGCCTGAATATGTTTTTCCTGTCGAAAAATGCGCCATCTGGTGACAGTTGTTCTAAATACATAATACGCTAGATACACTTCCTTACACATAGGCAGTGCGCCATATGCACAGATATTGCATATAGCTTTGTTTTTGAATTTCTAAATATAACCGGCCTCGGTGGTGTAGTGGTCAGAGCTCCTGGGTACGAGCCGAGAGGTCGTGGGTTCGAATCCCACTTGGGTATGGTTGTTTATTTGTGTTTGTCCATTGTGTATAGTCCTTCGGAGGGGACTTTAAGCCGTCGGTCCGTTCCTACCCCTAACCCGCACAAGCCATTCAGTTGGCTTATGGGACATCTTAGTTTGGATGTAAGGGTGGAACTAAAAGAGCACTTTATAACTTTATAACTTTACATTCAAATGGCAACTACTGGTACAGTGGCAATTACTGGTGCCTTTACCCTATGTGAACCTCAAGGTTCCAATTTGGGACCATTTAGTTGAACAATACGCATAAATGACAACAGTTGTCTATGTTTTAATTTAAAATAACTAAGATATGGTACATACCTGCATAGGATGCATTCCCCCAATAAGAGGGGGAATGGTACCTGGAGGAGCATTGTATATTCTATCGGGAGGGAAACCTCCCGAACCTGGTTCGTCAATTGTGGGAGTACCCGAACGCTCTTCCGGATTTCTGCAAGGAAATAAATAAATAAAAATAACTTACCTAAATATTTTGTTTTACCTTGATTCCCTATAACCTGGGGATCTTTTTCTGCTGCTTCTGTGGTGTTTCCTCGGAGAACGGTCGTCTCTTTCCCTCTTTTGAGGTTTGGATTCTGGAAAACAAATATTACCGAAAAATCCGACAAACGAAAAACCTTCACTTACTGTTATTATGTAAATATTATTATTATATTATTATGTTTTTTGAAAGTTTCACGTGATTTTTTTACTTTTGACAATTGTTTCGTTGCACAGTGAAGAAGTCACTGTGTGACGAAACAATTGTCAAAAGTAAATAAATCACGTGAAATTTTCAAAAAACATAGTTGTTTTTATATCTACATAATAATAATAATGATATGGAGTTTCATCAAGTAAAGGTCGAAACAATCAAATACTCCACTTACTGCTGTCGCGGGTGTAGCCCGAAACCCTGTTGCTGATGGGCTGGGGCTTGGGCGAGGACCTCGGGGAAACCCCGGGCGGGCCTTCGGCCGGAGAGTCCGAGGAGGCGGTGGATTTGGCGGGTTCGCGCGCGTCTTCTTTAATCTCGGTCTGCGCGTCGTCGTTTTTGTGCTGCTCGGTCGAATCAGCCTCGCTGATGACCGTTTTCTCTTCGGCCGCGTCCTGTTTCTGCGCGTCCGGCGGCTCTTGCTTAGGGGGCGGGGTGACCTGAAGCAAAATGATAATGTTCCAAAAAATTATTTTTGAGATTGGGTCTTTAATAGGGTGATTCATTTCCGCAAAGTTTTTGTTTTCTTCGGTGCTCAAGCAAAATATTAATCTGCATATAGAAAAAAAAATTCTTAACAAGTTTGAGCTCTTAATATAAATTTTAAGTACTTACTATTTAAATTTAAGGTTTTACCGTTTAAAATGCATGTAAAAAATATATTTTTTTTTTAAATTTCTAATGCTTACCCACCTTTGACAATATTGCAAATCGGTTTAATACACCTTATGGGGAATTTCACGCTCTTTAAAATTGCTTTTGAGTTTTTTTTTGTAACTCGCATTGGTTCACCAGTAGGAGTCGTCAAAGGACAGTTTTTAAAAAAAATCGTTGTTTTTTTAAATTTTTTCTAAAAAACCGCAAAAAGTAGGGAGAAAAAAGGGCTGAATCTTAAAAAAAAGTTATCCAACCAATATTTAATGAATTTACAGCCATTTTTATAACTGAAAACGTAAGAAATTGATAATTACCAACTCATAATGTTATTTAGATTGATTTTTTCTATTTATTATCATTATATTTCCCTACACTAAGAAGTTTTTTAAAATTATTGATTTCTCACTTATAATGAATATGAAAACAACATATAAATTCATAAAAAAACAATAAGAAAATTGTAACGTGGATTTAGCAATTTTCAACATTTCTGTCATATAGCAAAAAAATATAAATGAAGATTATTTAATTTTTTGAAGCGAAATTTGAAATATGTTACATAACCTTCTGTATATTCCGATTAAAGTTTTGTTGTTTTTTTATGAATTTATGTGTTGTTTTCATATTCATTATGAGTGAGAAATCATAATAATTTTAAAAAAGTTCTTAGTGTAGGGAAATATAATGATAATAAATAGAAAAAATCAATCTAAATAACATTATGGGTTGGTATTTATCAATTTCTTACGTTTTCAGTTATAAAAATGGTAGTAAATTCATTAAATATTGGTTGCATAACTTTTTTTTTATGAATCAGCCCTTTTTTCTCACTACTTTTGGCGATTTGCTCGAAAAAATAAAAAAAAAACAATTTTTTTTAAAAACTGTCCTTTGACGACTCCTACTGGTGAACCAATGCGAGTTACAAAAAAAACTCAAAAGCAATTTTAAAGAGCGTGAAATTCCCCATAAGGTGTATTAAACCGATTTGCAATATTGTCAAAGGTGGGTAAGCATTAGAAATTTGAAAAAAAAAATATATTTTTTACATGCATTTTAAACGGTAAAACTTTAAATTTAAATAGTAAGTGCTTAAAATTAATATTAAGAGCTCAAACTTGGTGAGAATGTTTTTCCTATATGCAGATTAATATTTTGCTTGAGCACCGAAAAAAAACCTTCTTAAATAAGTTTTGAAATTTTAAAAAACTTATTGCATTCCAATTTTTTTTTTTTTGATAATCGAAAACGTTTTTAACGTTTTTAAAACATCTTAAAATATGACATTCTAAAATTCGTTTTTGATGTTTTAATATGATTTGGGGTTTTAGATTTTTTTTTAATATAGTTTTGACATTCTAAATCCTTTTCTAGACACTCTAACATATTTTAATAGTCTCAAATATGTTTATGACATACTATAATGCGTTTTTAGGTAATATTTTTAAGTTTGAATTATTTAAATACGGTTTTGACATTCTAAACCCTTTTCTAGACACTAAAAGTATTTTTGACTGTTTTAAGTTTGACTTTCTTAAATATGGTTTTGACATTCTAAACCTTATTTTTGACATTATAAAATGCGATTTTAACATTGTAAAGCTTGTTCTGAATATTTTAAAATGTTTTTAATATTCTAAGCTATGTTTGTCTAAAGTGTGTTTTAGACTTTTTTAGGTTTGAATTTCTTAAATATGGTTTTGACTTTCTAAAGCCTTTTCTAGACATTAGACACTAGACACACATATTTTAATATTCTAAAATGTCTCTATGACATTCTATAATTAGTTCTTGGGTAATCTTTTTAAGTTTGACTTCTTAAAATATGGTTTTGACATTCTATAATGTGTTTTTCACCTTTATAATTATGACTCTTTTAAATTTGTTTTTGACATTCTAAAATGTAATTTTGACGGTCCAAAACTTGTTCTTGACTTTTAAAAAAGTGTTTTTGATATTATTAATCATGGTTTTGACGTTCAGGCTTATTTTATTCACTGGAAGTTGCCGTATTTACGGAATTTTATAAAAAAAAACGTTAAAAACTCACATTTTTCCTGGACAGCTCGACTTGCTGATGCTCCACCTTGGGCCTGTACACGGGTTTCTTCACGTACCCGGTGGTATTCTTGAAATTGGCGACCGAAGTCCTTAAAAACCTGTTCGGGATGAGTGTGCCGGGCGAGATGTCTTTTTCGCGGCAGTCGGGACACTCGTGGTCCTCCGACTCCAGCAAGGCGCTGCGAATGCACTCGTCGCAGAAAGAATTGCCGCAGCACGGGATCATGACCGCGTCGGTCAAGAGGTCGTGGCATATGGAGCAGAGGAGATCTTCGGGGATCTCCGTGCTCGAGTCTTCTTGCTGCGCTTGCGCAGGTGCCGGTTTTTCGTTGTAGGCCTGCGAGCGAATTATAACAGTCGATATAATAATTGGGGTGATTACTTTATCATTAACGAACAATATGGAATATATCAATTAGCTTTAAACTGTTTTCTGTGTGAAGTAAATAAAAACAATTTGGGGGAAAACAATGGAAGGGTTCAATTATGATTTTGACATTCTCAAGTTTGTTCTTGACATATTTTAAATTTCTTTAAAATACGTTTGAAATTTTATTACCTACGTGTTTTTACGATTCTAAATATTGAAATCCAAAATGTGTTTTGACATTCCGGGGTTTGTTCTTGACATTCTAAAATGTCTCTAACATTCTAAAGCTTGTTTTTGACATTCTAAAACATGACATTCTACAGTTTTTAATGCTTTAAAAGGTGTTATTAATGAACAATATGGAATATATCAATTAGGTTTAAACTGTTTTCTGTGTGAAGTAAATAAAAACATTTGGGAGAAAACAATGGAAGGGTTCAATTCTGATTTTGAAATTCTCAAGTTTGTTATTGACATATTTTAAATTTCTTTAAAATACGTTTGACATTTTATTACCTACGTGTTTTTACGATTCTAAATATTGAAATCCAAAATGTGTTTTGACATTCCGGGGTTTGTTCTTGACATTCTAAAATGTCTCTAACATTCTAAAGCTTGTTTTTGACATTCTAAAACATGACATTCTACAGTTTTTAATGCTTTAAAAGGTGTTATTAATGAACAATGTGGAATATATCAATTAGGATTCAACTGTTTTCTGTGTGAAGTAAATAAAAACAATTTGGGAGAAAACAATGGAAGGGTTCAATTATAATTTTGACATTCTCAAGTTTGTTATTGACATATTTTAAATTTCTTTAAAATACGTTTGAAATTTTATTACCTACGTGTTTTTACGATTCTAAATATTGAAATCCAAAATGTGTTTTAGACATTCCGGGGTTTGTTCTTGACATTCTAAAATGTCTCTAACATTCTAAAGCTTGTTTTTGACATTCTAAAACATGACATTCTACAGTTTTTAATGCTTTAAAAGGTGTTATTAATGAACAATATGGAATATATCAATTAGGTTTAAACTGTTTTCTGTGTGAAGTAAATAAAAACAATTTGGGAGAAAACAATGGAAGGGTTCAATTATAATTTTGACATTCTCAAGTTTGTTATTGACATATTTTAAATTTCTTTAAAATACGTTTGACATTTTATTACCTACGTGTTTTTACGATTCTAAATATTGAAATCCAAAATGTGTTTTGACATTCCGGGGTTTGTTCTTAACATTCTAAATTGTCTTTAACATTCTAAAGCTTGTTTTTGACATTCTAAAACATGACATTCTACAGTTTTTAATGCTTTAAAAGGTGTTATTAATGAACAATATGGAATATATCAATTAGGTTTAAACTGTTTTCTGTGTGAAGTAAATAAAAACAATTTGGGGGAAAACAATGGAAGGGTTCAATTATGATTTTGACATTCTCAAGTTTGTTATTGACATATTTTAATTTTCTTTAAAATACGTTTGACATTTTATTACCTACGTGTTTTTTACGATTCTAAATATTGAAATCCAAAATGTGTTTTAGACATTCCGGGGTTTGTTCTTGACATTCTAAAATGTCTCTAACATTCTAAAGCTTGTTTTTGACATTCTAAAACATGACATTCTACAGTTTTTAATGCTTTAAAAGGTGTTATTAATGAACAATATGGAATATATCAATTAGGTTTAAACTGTTTTCTGTGTGAAGTAAATAAAAACAATTTGGGAGAAAACAATGGAAGGGTTCAATTATAATTTTGACATTCTCAAGTTTGTTATTGACATATTTTAAATTTCTTTAAAATACGTTTGACATTTTATTACCTACGTGTTTTTACGATTCTAAATATTGAAATCCAAAATGTGTTTTGACATTCCGGGGTTTGTTCTTGACATTCTAAAATGTCTCTAACATTCTAAAGCTTGTTTTTGACATTCTAAAACATGACATTCTACAGTTTTTAATGCTTTAAAAGGTGTTATTAATGAACAATATGGAATATATCAATTAGGTTTAAACTGTTTTCTGTGTGAAGTAAATAAAAACATTTGGGAGAAAACAATGGAAGGGTTCAATTCTGATTTTGAAATTCTCAAGTTTGTTATTGACATATTTTAAATTTCTTTAAAATACGTTTGACATTTTATTACCTACGTGTTTTTACGATTCTAAATATTGAAATCCAAAATGTGTTTTGACATTCCGGGGTTTGTTCTTGACATTCTAAAGCTTGTTTTTGACATTCTATAGATTGTTTTTCTTGCTATTAATGTTTTATAACATCTAAAGCTTAAACTGGACATTCTAAAATGTTTTTAATATTGTAAATCATGTTTATGACATTCTAAAATAAGTTTTTAATAATTTTAAGTTTTCCTCTCTTAACAATGGTTTTAATATTATAAAATGGATTTTTAAAAATCAAAAATTGAGTTTTTGACATTTTTAATTATGATTTTGAGATTCTCAAGTTTGTTCTGGACATTCTAAAGCTTATTCTTGACATTTTTTAACATTCTAAATGTCTTTAAATTTAAGTTTTAAATATTTTAAAATGTGTTTTTAACATTTTGACATCCTAAAATATTGTTTAATACAATAAAATGCGTTTGACTTTCTTTAACATTGTTTTGACATTCTAAAATGAATTTTTAACGTTTTAAAATGTGTTTTGGACATTATAAAATATTATTTTGACGTTCTTAATTAATCTTCAATATCGGTACCAATTTTTACTTGAAATCTACTCACAATTAAAGTTTATAACTGCTTTGAATTGTAAGAAAACTACATGTTCAAGTAAAACTATTGTCATATAGTTTTACAAATAGTAAAATTACTATTCTGCACTTTTCTACTATTTATCGCGTTTTACAGTACCTACTGATAATAGAAAAAAATGGGGTTATTTATTACCTGGTGATCAAGCACTGGGACAGCATAGGACCCATTGGGTGTCATCATGGCTCCAGGAACCTGTGGACCCTCCACTGGGACCATAAAACTTCTGGGTATACCAGTGCTCTTTTTTATTTCAATAGGTTCCTGAAGAAAAAATGGCACAGGATGTAATTTCAACATACTTTTGAAGTATGTAATTTGAAATGAGCAAAACACTTACACTCCCTTGTGCTAAAGGACAGTCCTTGATCCAGTGCCCTGTTTGGTGGCATTTATAGCATCTATAGTTTGGGGGAACCGGCCCCACTTGGTTGGCGCCTCTGATTTTAATATAACTAAAAAACGCGTTTTGCTACATCGTTTTTTTTACCAAGCATTTTCTACTTACTTGCTGGGGTCGTAGTCCTGCGTCGATTGCGACATCATCGCGTTAATTTTCTCGTCTTCCGGGGCATTTAGGCACGACAAATCGGCGGTCCTCGACATAGGACCGCCGTCCTCCAATTTCGCGGGGGGAGTGGAATCTCCACCGTAGCCCTCCCATTGCTTGTTTTTGCTTTGGGCAGCGATGGGAATGCGGGCGATCAAAAGCGAAGTGTTTTTGGGTATCAGCGCGTTCTCATCCTCGTATTCTGAAATAAAACCAAGCATTTGTCGTCGCACACATGTATTTTGAGCTAAAACGTGGCCAAAACTTAATTTTGTTAATTTTTATTATTAGTCTCAAAGCAGATAGATAACATGGCTATCTTTTGGTGTAGTTGCTACCTGAATTGGCCGTCCCAGTCCGCGGTACCAACAGCTAGAACTTAGCGCACCTTTAAATCGTACGTCTTCGTTCGCGGCACTCCACAAAAAAACAAATTTTTGACCGTGTTGTTTCTTATGTTAAAAGTGATTTTAGTAGAAAAAGTTGATATGGATATCGTCAATCAAGGTATGTACAATATTTTATATTTGTGTTATAACTTTATTTATTCCTATTTTAGTTGAAAAAGTTGATATGGATATCGTATGTACAATATTTTGAGCAACATTTTATTTGTGTTATAACTTTATTTATTCATATCGAGTACTATATCCACCTAACTAAAAATATTAAATTTTTCTCTAAACATTTGTACCTATTTTTAAATACAGGCAACAACTCGCAACGACATCCGACCTAGGTTTTATTAAACTTCAGGACATCTAGAATAACTGTAGCCAACAAAAACATTCACAAGTTTTTACATAACAAAAAAATGTACCCTTGAAAGTGCGATCTTATAAGATTTAATATATTTTTTTATTAATTTAAGGGCCCAAAAAATTTATATATGTTTAATTTTAGTATTTTTATTGTATTACTTGCATGTAAGTAGCTACTTTGTAATTTTTTAATAAATACATTTTTGAATACATACATTTTTTTTTTGATACAAAAAGTGTCCAACTATTTTTGGCCATGTTTTGGGTCAAAATACCTGTCTGTGTAACAAAAAAATCCCAAAAATTATGCTCAAAGTTGAGAGTTCTTTGTGCACTACTGCACTAAAATATTGTTTAATACACTATTTTGTTTTTAACATTCTAAAGCTTGTTCTTGACCTTCTAAAGTATTTTTTATCGTTTTAAAATGTATTTTGGACATTTTAAAATATGTTTGTGACATTCTATATTCTTTTTGCTATTAATGTTTTTTAAAATTTAAAGCTTGAAGTGGACATTCTAAATTCTAAATGTTTTTAATATTGTAAAACATGTTAATGGCATTCTAAAATAGGTTTTATAGTTTGCCTTTCTTAAATATGGTTTTATTATTATAAATTGAATTCAAAAATTGGGTCTTTGACATTGTCAAGTTTGTCCTGGACATTTTCCCAGATAGCACAAAGATATACTATGGACGTCCAATGGACGTATGCTCGTGGACGTCTGTATGTACATAGGATGTCCATTTTTTTTCTATGGACGTCCCATGGACATCCGTTTAGAGTCCAGATGTCACAACTTTGGACATCCATAAGTCGTCCACCGGTGGACGTCTATAAGGTGTTTGAACCATTCCTCCAGCATCCAGGACCTGCTTTTTTGCTTACTTTAACTGTTTTTTGCGACTGTATTTTCATTGCGATGTTGCAGAAAATTTTCTACAACATGACTGAAATGCCTTTTGTCTGGCTCAGTAACAATCCCACTAGGAATATAAATATTCTAAAAGTTGTTAAAAGTTACAACATTCAATGTTGAACATTGCAGGAAATCCTTGTATTCGACTCAGGAACATTACATTTGCAATACTACAAGTGTTTAACATTTCATTGATAGCTTGTCCTTTATAGCACGCGCTTGCTTGAATGTCAGTGAGATTGATCATAACTGTTGTTATGCAGCCAACAATACGTTTTAACTTGCATTTCTGTAATAATAATTATGGACGTAAAATGGACACTATATGGACGTCCATTAAAATCGTACAAAGGATGTAAATATATGGACGTACATAGTACATCCATTTTTAGTCCGTGGACCAATGTACTTAAAATGGATCTTAAACGGACGTCCATTGGACGAATGGTGCTATCTGGGTTAAAGCTTTTTTTTAATTTTAAATTCCTTTATAATTCGTTTGGCATTTTATTATTTACATGTTTTTACGATTCTAAATATTAAAATATAAAATGTGTTTTGACACTCCAGAGCTTGTTTTTGACATTCAAAATATATTTAACTATTTTCTTAATGTTCTAAAATGTATTTTGAACATTTTAAAATATGTTTGTGACATTTTATAGATTATTCTTTATATTAATGTTTTTAATATTGTAAAACGTGTTAGTGACATTCTAAAATATGTTTTTAATATTTTTAAATTTGCCTCGTTTGCCTCTCTTAAATATGGTTTTAATATTATAAAATGTACTCAAAAATTGGGTGTAATAAAAATAAATAAATTATTATTATTATTAATGTTTTTTAAAATCTAAAGATTGATTGAACTGGACATTCTAAAATGTTTTTAATATTGTAAAACATGATAATGGCATTCCAAAATAGGTTTTTAATATTTTTAAGTTTGCCTCTTTCATACATATATGGTTTTAATATTATAAAATGTAATTTTAACATTTAATAATTGGGATTTTGACATTCTCAATTATGATTCTGACATTCTCAAGTTTGTTCTTGACATTTAATAACATTTTTAAAATTTTTATTATGTACATGTTTTTAGGATTTTAAATATTAGAATCTAAAATGTGTTTTGAAATTACAGAGCTTGATATTCTATAATATTTTTTTAATATTTTTAAATGTGTTTTCAGAATTTTGACATTCTAAAATATTTTTTAATACACTAAAATGTGTTTTACTTTCTTAAACATTGTTTTGATATTATAATTCTTGTTCTTGACATTCTAAAATATGTTTATGGCATTCTTAAGTATGTTTTTAAGGTTTAAAAATGTACCTATTTTTGACATTTTAAAATGTCTAGAGATTGTTCTTGATATTGTTTTTTTTAAACTAAGGCTTGAACTCGAAATTTTAAAATGTTTTTAATATTGTAAAATATGTTTAAAACATTCTAAAATAAGTTCGCCTCTCTTAAATATGGTTTTAATATTATAAAATGTATTTTTAACATTCAAAAATTGGGTTTTTGACATTCTCAATTATGATTTTGACATTTTCAAGTTTTTTCTGGACATTGGAGTATGTTTTTAATGTTTTAAAATATATTTTGAACATTTTAAAATATGTTTGTGTTTGTGTTCTATAGATTATTTTTGGTATAAATGTTTTTTAAAAACTTGAACTGGACATTCTAAAATATTTTTAATCGGTAAATCGGTGATGTGTAACGAAAAATCTCCAAAATTATGCTCAATTGAGAGTGCTTTGTGCTCTACTACAACTCCGTATCCGTGCCTCAGAATATGCCTTTTCAGAATATTATACATTTAATTAACATTCATATTTTTTTATTTTGGTAGGTAAACAAATCACCGTAGAAAAAAGATTTTTAACCATTATACCTATATGTATAGATATGAAAAAATTGCTGTAGGGAATAAAATAAACTATTTTTTTAATTTGTTTACCTATTTACCTATTTTTTTAATTTGTTTACCTATTATTTAGTTTGTACACCTAAAAAAAGTGTGGTTTAAAAAGAAAATTAAAAAAAGTATTTTACAGACAATTTTTAACTCAATAAAAAACCTCTTGAAATTGGAATTAAGAGTTGGGGTTTTAACAAAATTTTTAATAATAATAATAATAAACTTTATTGGAAATCCAAAATTTTTATTTTGGCATAATCTAGGGAATTAATACACATTTTGCATATTTTTTGTTATCGGTAAACATATCGTATTCACCCCATTTTACAAGTATAACATATATAGAGATTCATATCTTACAATCCATTATTTCAGAATTGTTTTCTTAAATCAATTATAATTATTTATTTATAAAGTTTATGCATGCTATCAAAAAACTTGATAAATGAAGACAAAATGGCTAATTAAAAAACTGTAAAATTTCAGGGTGGTTAATTATTTTTGTTGCTTAGTTTATTTTCCCACATAATAACATAAAAAAACGTTCATTACCTTCCTTAGTTTGAGCATTAGTAACCTGTAGATCAAAATCAGTGCTTTTCCCAATACGTTTCTGCTGTATAATGGAATTCTTCAAATCTTTCACCGAAATATGTAAACCATCAAAAGTAACTGTATCATAATCCAAAGCAGACTTAAACTTGTAATGAACAGACATAGTTTTTATTTAATTGCAACTATACAACAAACCGTTTATAAAATTTAATAACAACAGTTTTCACCAATAATTCACCATATTTAACACCGCGAAGGTTATAAAACAATTTACTTAATCCAACTAAACAATCCCAGCCTATTAATTAATCACCAATAACTTTATTTAACGCAGTTTTTGCACAATTTACAACAAACATGTTGAAAACTGACACAATAAAAATGGCTGTAAGAAACCAGTGCTGCCAACAGACGCTCTCCGTCTGCTATGCCAACTGCAACAAAAGTTACTAGGATTTGGTTAAAAAAACCGCGCGCTTTCTTCGATAAAACTGTTTTATTTAGCTTAAGACTACTATTTCTAGCTTAGGTTTGTATTTGAAACAAACTTAATTAACCTTCCGGCGGGCGCACGTCTTTTGTGCACGAGTTCGGGCGCAGTGATCTGACAGATTCAATTTTCAGATAGGCTTATTAAAGTGCTTTTTAATATTTTTTACCAAATTAATTAACACTACTTTTTTTAAGACTATATACTAACTTATAAAATACTATACATACATAAAATGCGCAAAAAAAAATCAAATATTTTTGTAAAGACAAAAGAAATTTTCAGATATGCATACTAAAGTGTTTTTTTTTTATATTTTTACCATAAATAAATAACAACGTTTTTTAAAACATAAAATTAATACATACATGTATTTATGCATAAATTTCGAAAATAAAATAAAACAATTTTTTTGTAACGAAAACTAAACAAAATAGATATTTTATACAAATATTGTATATCAAAACAAATAATTATGAATAATTATTAAAACTCCTCATTAGATTTAGTAATAACAGTTTTATCCAAACATGAAGTGCATACGAAAATTGCAAGTTGTAAGTGCTTTTTGACATTTTTTGCACTTTATTTAGAAAGCGGTCTAATACCCGATTCTGAAGTACATGGTAAACATATTCGTTTTTAGGTGGTTGTTCTTCTTCTTGCTGAACTATCATAATATAAATTTAAGTAAAAATGCATACAAAAAGTTATAAATCAATGCTTACGTTCATAAAAAGTTAAAAATTTGTAAATATTAAATTATAACGCAATCGGGCGCACTGTATCTAGCAGATCAAAATGCCTGCCACCACCTTACAAGGAGATTAAACACAAACTCAAGTAGACATATCGGTAGAAGTCCTAAAAATATGAAGCTACTAAAGGGCGGGTAGTTATGCCTATAAAAACAGTGCGTTCGCGTGCAATTTTTTAACTGGTGTATCTCTTAGATCGGTTGCGCCCGCCGGAAGGTTAAATAAAATTCGTATACAGCTTAATTGTCGAGTGGAAGTAAATGTGACCAACAGACGCTCATCCCATACCAATATAAATAAAAGTCACTAGAATTGAATTAAAATTTAAAACATACCGCGTTTTAAAGTAATTTGATTTGTTTTAATATTCAATTATTAAATGCTTGTTTGTTAAGTATATAATATTTATGTGTGAGGGTTTTTAAGAGTAATATTTCGGTAATTTATTAGTTAATTGTTTGAATTTGGGTGACAGGAAATTCATAAAAACTAATTAACAAAAAAATTGTCAAAAAAACTTTGTCGTGAGAGCACGTTTTAATAACCAGTGTAGTCTTACACTTTTGTACTTTACATTTAATTATTCGCACTATTGGGGTTCAAAATATTTTTATTTATTTTATTATAAACATTTATTATTAATTCAAAAATGGCTACATTTCAAATACACGAAGATATCGAAAATCGTCCATTCGGGAAGAAAAATTTTAAAGTGGCAGAAAACCCTGGGAAATACGAAGAAAATAGGAAAATTTTGCAGCCTGTTAATTTTTTAAAGCAAGATAATAAAAGAATTAGGTTGGATTGCAAAGAAAATATAAAAGAAAGTCACCCTAAAGTAACGGTAAGTTTTTTTTTTAATTTTTGTTGTATTTCTACCTACACTAGGTAGTATGTCCTTAATTTTTAGCATGTTAAGGCAGAAATTAATCAAGGAAAGCCAAAAGTAATCAAAAAGAAAATTGTAGAGGAAGTGGTTTTAGATGAAGAACTCTTTGCTGTAAATAATGAAGAAACCCCTGTAGCCGATACAGAAATAGATACTTTTCCGGTAACTCTATTAAAAGAAATTGAATATAGAAACGTAAGTTTGAAACACAAAAATAATTATCGTAATTTTTTGTTTGAAATTTTTTTGCGTTCGAGGTTAAAAAACTATACAGGTTGTTTAAAAATAAACAATATCTTGAGATCACTTTTGTAGATCCTAAATTAATTTGTAATCTTGGTTGCCTACCTACATTCGAACAAACAAGGGGCTCGTCCAATAGAGGAGAAATAATGCGCCTTAAGGCGAATTAATTAATTCGCCGCTTTAAAAACGAAATAACTCCTGAAATTTTGCGAAATAGAAAAAATGCTAGGAAAAAATTCGTTTTGTAATTTCAAGAGGAATTTGTTTTTACTCTTGGGGCCGCCAATTTTGGAGCTCCCTGAATGTCTTAAATTTCTAGTTCAGAGAAAACATAAATTAGGTTTATTGGATTTGGTAGTTTTTTTGTAATAACCCTGTATATTACTATGTCCCCGGATTGATTTCATAAGAGTTTTTTTTGTTTTTCGAAGAAAAGTCACTGTTGATAAAATGTTTAGATCGTCGAAAAAATAATATATTGACATAAAAATATTTGGGATTTTATCTACAGGGTGTTAAAAAATTAGGAAACATGAAATCGATTCAAGAGAGAACTCCCACATGGCAAGAACTTGCAACCTAAACGTTCCAAAAACGTCCCTTGTGACATTGTTACATTATCGTTAATGTAACATAAACGTACTAATAACGTCATGGGGACTGCTAATGTCCGCCTTCAAAGATGTAACATTGTTACTTCACAAAATTAACGTTGCTGTACTGTGATGAATTAGCAGATTTTATGACGTCAATTTCTGTACTCTACAATTACGCTTCTATTGTAACATTTATATATCGGAAAAAATGTTACATGGATGTAATGAAAAAACGTCTTAATAAAATAAATTTTTATTCATATAATTTAAAATAACATAAATACCTAGGTATATATTAGCTTATATATATAAACTCTTAAAAAAGAATAATATAAAATAAATAAATAAAAGGAACATTATTTATAAACTACCTAGAATCCACAAGAATAAAAACAAAGCAAATGGCTACCGTTTACCGGCTTCAAGCCTCAACGGCAACGCGTCTTTTGCCCTTTCCTTCTTCCACAAATAGAAAAACTCCATTTGTCGCTGTTTCTCCTAAAAAAATAGTACTATATATTACTTAATTGTGAACATGAATGATTGAAACTGCTGTATACATAGGTATAAGTGGGTAGGTACTTTTCAACCTTGATTTTTGTAGGAGACAAATTGATTTTGTCTATCTGTGGAACAAGGGAAGGACAAAAATATTTTTACTATTTACCTAATTAAATATGAATAGTTATGCATTTAACTAATTACAATTTTAAAATATTTTATAATACCTACTTAATTAAGTACTTAAGTAGGTACCTACTAATTATTTTTGAAATATTAATGAAAATTATCTATATTTTTTTATGTTTAATTATACAACCTTCAATCTAACCAAGAGCACTTACACTGTATTTAATATTTCTCACTAACACACTAATTTAAATTAAAAATTAGAAAAATGCGACGATAACCACCTGTCGTTGCAATACGTAGACTGACCCGTCTCGAATTTACGGTTTTATTAAAGTTAATATAATAACATTCCAATAACAAGCGTATAATTTCGTGTTAGAGACATCCTAATCTTAACGTCAAGAATGAACTGTTTAATTAACGTAAATTCAGTATTGTCACAATGATGAACATTTAATTTTGTTTTATAGACATCACATTTTAAACGTAACGATATTACTGTTTTGTTGATGTATATGTGGTGACAGTCCCATAACGTCACAAAATTAATGGCTCATAAATGTAGATCAGGGCACGTAGAAATCCGGACGTCCGAGAAACATTTATGGGACACATTTAAAAAGAGAGCACATATTTACTGTCTATGAAACAAGATTGAGACGTAAATTTTAAACGTTCAAAATGTGACCTTTTTGAGAATGTAACAAAATGTTTCTAAAACGTTCTTTGTCATGTGGGCTTTATTTATAATTTTTTTAAATGTTTATAAGAAATAAGTAGTTGTTTGTAATTAAAAACAAAGTAGGTATGGATACAAAAATTACGAAAAAAAATATAAAGTTGGTTTTAAAAAAAAATATTTTTTAAAATGCTTTGATTATTAAATAATAATCGATAATAACATGTAGTAAAATTTGTGATTTTAACTACAGTGTGTTTAAAAGTAATAAAACAAAATCTATTCAAGACATCCCAGCAAACCAGGCTGTTCCATTTACATAACCATGATATAACTAACAAAGAACATTGCCATATAAAATTGTTTACATAACATTTACATATTAGTTATTTATTTTGTTACATAATTATGATAAAACATAGTAATATAACATTTATATAAATATGTTCCCCACTTGTTATATTTACATCCCCCTTATGTATCAGCCATATAACAATGTTATATATCTACAATGGAACAATGATACATCATTGATATATGGCAATGTTTTATAGTATCCATATAACCTTATTATATGGTATTTACATAGTTTTTCTTTATTTTGTTACATAATTATAATAAAATTTTTTAATATAATAGTCGTATCAAAATGATCCCTTCTTGTTATATTTACATCCCTATTATGTCATGGCTATATAACAATGTTTTATACCTACATTGTAACAATGATATATAAATGTTATATATTAATGTTTTATAGTATTTATATAGCCTTTTTATCTTACTAACGAACTCGTTTAAACGGTTGTGTCGAGTGCTCTCTATTGTGTTTTAAGTTAAGCTAAGTTTGATTCCATTTTTTTATAATAAAATGGAAGACAAAAATAGAAAAAAATATATTTTCCTATCCCGGAGGCAAAAGCGGAGGAGAATTAATGCAGATCTCAAAATAATGGGCGTGGAGGTAAGAAATTGTATAGAAAATACCCAAGACAATGTGGAATATACTGAGGCTAAAACCGAAGTAGGTATTATCTTTCCCTAACCAGCCAATAAATAAACATATAATAAAAATATTTTTACAGAAAATTTCGGAGAATATTCAGGAGGTCATAGGAAAAATTCCAATACTTTTGTGGGAGATTTGCAAGATTTGTGTAATAGATACTTTTTATTAATGATCATTAATAAAAAGTATCTGTGTTAAAAGTTTTGAGAAAACCTATTGCAAAAAGAAGTAGAATTTGTAAGTATATAAAGGGCGATTTTAAACCTGTTTAATAATGTTAATTTGTTTTTAAAACAGGGTGCTAAAAAACAAGCGACAAATTATAATTTAATGATATTTGGTAGCCAAAATAAGAGTTTAATTTCTATATTTTTTTTTAACTTTATACTGTTTTTTCAACTGGTACTTAAAAGATACAATAATTTTGCTAAATAACCAACTTTTTTATTATAATTGTTGTGACAATTAATTTTATGCAAATTCCATATTTTTCATTATTTTTATATCTCTTATAAGGTTGCAGGGTGCATTTGACTTGAATAAATAAAATCAAACAAATTATTATTTGTACCAAATATCATTTACATAACTACATAAAGAATAGTTGTTCTTTGTTTTGAAAACAAATCAATAAACAAAAATAATATTAAACTGTATTTTTTTTCAGTTTCAGTATATAACAAAAATTGGAGGCGTCTCAGAGAAAGATGCCACAGTAAGAGTTTTAAAGAAAATCTTCTCAAATAATTTGGCAAAAGATTGCTCTTGGCTGGGGCTAAGAAACAACAATAAAATTCAAAATTTAAAATCTGTTGAAATATTGAAGGGTAAAAATGTAAATTTTATGGGATTTTTTATTAAATAAATTTTTTTAAGCTGCTGTGTGCACTTCGACAGACAAAAATTTTGAAGGCATAGTTTCCGAATGGTTCCGGCAGGCCAAAAAAAGATTTGGTATACCCTATACTAGGGCCTATATATATTTTTTAGCTTTGAAGTATTAATGTATTTGGGATTTTTTTTTGTTTGGAAAAATTTTTCGTTTGTTTTAAGAAGTTAGAAAGAAGAAATGATTTGTTTTTTTTTAATTAAAATAATTTTTAATAAACATTTAAACTAATTTGTTTTTTTTTAATCTCTTTCAGAATCATTTATTTTTGTAATGTTTACTTATTATTTATGTAATATTTATTTATAATTTATTTAATATATTATCTAACTGGCATTAACAATTTCTTAGTTCTAATTTGGTATTATGGCAATTTTAAAATTTTGTTGATTTTTTTTTTCAAAAAATTTGCCATAATACCAAGTTAGGGCTAAGAAATTTTTAATACCAGTAAGATAATATATTACATGAAATTATATTTATAAATATTTCATAAATAATATGTAAATATTGCAAATAGAATATAATTGTTTTATCACGTTTACATAACTATGATATGGCGCTGTAACATTACAGTTACATATCTATGATAAAACACTGTTACATCACAGATACATACCCAGGAAGGGGTCTTGAGGCGGACATAGGAGCATCGCCATTACATATAGGTGACATAGCTGTTGCATAGTAAGGAACAATTTTTATGTAAATGTTATATCACTGTTACATAACTGATATGGCGCTGTAACATTACAGTTACATAACTATGATAAAACAGTGTTACATCACAGTTACATACCTAGGAAGGCGTCTTGAGGCGGACATAGGAGCATTGCCATTACATATAGGTGACATAGCTGTTGCATAGTAAGGAACAATTTTTATGTAAATGTTATATCACTGTGACATGATTTGGTTTGCTGGGATTTTAAACACCCTGTACTGTACCTCACAAATTTTACCACGCTAATTTTTTTGATAACACTGTAGGGAAATTTTCAACTTTTGAAATATCACAGCTAAACGCTCGAACACGTAAAAATAATTTTTGGTCGTAGATTCCAAATCTGTCTAAATCAGGTCGAAAGGGACACGTGTTCCTTTTGATCAATTAACTTCAAATTTTAAAAGAATTTGTTTTTTTTTTTAAATTTGGAACTAATATGTGGGTCCAGCCAAATTGATTTTTTTTAAATTTACACAGGGTGTTTAAATTTATATAGGGTGTTTCCAATATCTTTAAATTTTGACCTGATACAGCTAAACCAAGCATGGATTTGTAATCTAAGACCAAAAATTAGGTTTACGTGTCCGAGCGTTTAGCTGTGATATTTTCACCTCCCTACAGTGTGATCAAAGAATTTGATCAGGAATGACTTTTCATCGAAAAAAACAAAAACAAAAATATAAATATATATTTATATTTTTATTTTTGTTTTTTCGATAAAAAGTCATTCCTGATAAAATCCTGAAAAAAACAAAGAAAAATCAACTTTATGATTTCTGTCATATTTTTTGTTTTAATAAGAATTTAATTAGTTTTTAATTATAAAAATCTTTTTTTTTATATATAAAAAATTTGAAAAAAATTAAAAATAAACGTACGACTTCATGTTTTCCTAATTTTTAAACATCATTTAAATAAAATCCCAAATTTTAATACGTATGTAAATATTATTTTTTTGATAATTAAAACATTTTTTCAAGAATGACTTTTTATCGAAAAAGCAAAAACAAAAGCATTAATCAATTTCATGTTTTCCTACTTTTTTACACCCTGTAGATAAAATCTAAAATTTTATTTATTCGATGATAAAATACTGTATAATAATCTATATACATATATGTATATAGATTGGTATACAGTATTTTTTTGTATACATGTACATTTTTTATCAAGAATGACTACAAAAAAAACCAAAAGTCTGTATTTTATTATTATTTTTCTAAAGGATATTTGGGAGTATTTAACAACAATGGAAGTAACTTGTCAAAGAACCAAGTCCAGTTATATGGCAAAGCAGCAATCTCTTAATTGGAATACAAGATCAGTTTTGGTTGATTGGTTGGCAAGCGTGGCAGATGAATATGACCTGAACGACCAAACTTTTCATTTGGGAATAAACTATATCGATAGGTTTTTGGGACGAATTAGTGTGGTAAGTAGGTACCAAATTTTACTCCTTACCTTTTAAATCTGCATTTTGAACAACTTATAGGTATATATTTTTCATGTTTAGGTAAAAGAAAAGTTTCAACTGGTAGGTGCTGCAGCTATGATGCTGGCCGGCAAAGTCGAGGAAATCTATCCTATTGAAACATCCGAATGGTCGTTCCTTACTGGAGACTCATTCACCAAGAGGCAGATTTTAAAAATGGAACAAATGATCTTAAAGGTTTTGCTGTTCAATATGCAACCTCCCACAATTTGCTCCTTCATAGAGCACCTTTGCACTCAGTTCAACTTTGACGCCAAGACCAAGCATCTAGCGATGGTAAGTTTCCAATCACATTTCAGGGGTTCCAGAAGACGCTTTTGAAGGAAAACGTTGTCTTTAGAGCGTCTCTCGCAGCTACATTAAAAACTGAAGTCTTTTTACAGTTTTTGGGAGACATCATGCTCCTGGAAGGCGAGGAGTATCTGGACCATCTACCATCCAAATTGGCTGCAGCGTCCATAGCTTTGGCTAGATACACTCTCTGCAAAAGTCCAATCCTGCCGAAGAAGATGCAGGACGTTTCTGGTTACAGCTTGAAAACTCTGAGTCCAGTGGTGCAAAAGCAGAACAAATCTTTCAGGGAGACGCCTCTCAAACAGCAACAGGCCATCCAATCGAGATACAAAAGCGAAAGATATGACGGAGTTGCGAATTTAAAGCCCAAAGTTTTGAATTTGAGCGAGTTTGATGATGAAGAGTAAATTTAGGTGAGTCCAAGTCTGATTCTAGCTTCATCATCTTTAGAAGAGTTTTATTTATGTTTTTTTAGGTCATGGATTGTTTCTTTACCAATAAAAAATCGTACTAAAATTCCCCTTTTTTAACTTTCATTATTTTAATGCCAAAATAATGTAAATATAGTCTTTTAACTAGAATAATCAAATATACAAATTTTAATATACTTAAACTTATGTACTTATACTTTTTTCGAAGTATTTATTTTATCTATTTTTTATTATTTATTGTGTAGGTATGTCTTATTTTGAATTATTGCAAATATATATTTAATATTTGTTGACAACTTACCATGTATTATATTGTTAAATAAACAAATAAATTAAGAAAATTGTTTTATTATTATTAATGCATTAATAATATTTATTTAGCGATCTTATGGGCAAAATCTCCATTTAAGGTTCACGGTAAAAAGTAATTTTTACCAAATATTAACGGGATTTTATGTTAATCCAGGTCCACATAACTTTATGTTAAGTTTAAACTTAATGTAATCTGTTAACTAATTGAATAAATAGTTTGTAATTACAGACATATTGTAGACTTAATAACAAAATTCTATGTCAATAATTCTTGTAATTTTCAAAAAGGACATTATTTTTATAAACCTTAAAAATTTTTGTAGACCCAGTAACAAAAGTATTTGTTGATAATTGAGAACTTAAATAAAAAGAAAATAGTTTTATTACTATTAATGGATTAATAATATTTATTTAGCGATCTTATGGGCAAAATCTCCATTTAAGGTTCATAGTAAAAACTAAAAAGTAATTTTAACCAAATATTAACGAGATTTTATGTTAATCCAGGTCCACATAACTTTATGTTTAAACTTAATGTAATCTGTTAACTAATTGAATAAATAGTTTGTAATTACAGACATATTGTAGACTTAATAACAAAATTCTATGTCAATAATTTTTGTAATTTTCAAAAAGGACCTTATTTTTACAAACCTTTTTGTAGACCCAGTAACAAAAGTATTTTTTGGTAATTGAGAACTTAAATAAAAGGAATTTTGATAAGAAATATTGCTTTATCAATATTCTAAACAAAAAAATAATTACATAGGTACCTACATAAATGAAAACAAAAATAACATACACACAATTAAATTTTACCCCATTCTGAAATCATCATATTATAAAGAAATTTGGTACACTATCAGTAGATACAACTCGACAAATCTAGCTAGAGACTTTAAAAACCTGCAGTGTGCGTAAAACTTTAAAGAGAGAACGCATTCGGAAGAACGGACTAATAAAGGTTTAAATATATTTGATATATCAACATTATTAAAGTTATTTCAGAGTAAAAAATAGTAAATTTTCGATTTATTTATACAATTAGAATAGAATTAGATGTATTTTAAATACAGTATTTAAGGTAAACAAGAATTTCTTATAAAGTTATAAATTTTCAAAAGGATTATAACCTATTTTTATTTGCATTAATGTTACTTTTTTTAAACATATTATGTTTAAAAAAAGTAACATTAATGCAAATAAAAATAGGTTATAATCCTTTTGAAAATTTGTGTTAGGGTACCCTAACATTAGGTACTTTTTTATTGATATAAGTATTAACAAATGTAAATTGACAATTATTTTTAAAGAGCCTAGTAGTGAGTAGCCGCTTTTATTGATAATGGATTTTAAATCAAAATTAAAGTGTAAAGTTTTGTCAGGTCAAGTTAGAGAGGTGATAGCTAATTTCATTTTCTTTATGCAGCGAGAAGCTGCACAAAACGGCCCTATCCGTGATTAAAAAAAAATCCAAAAGCGTACTGCATTAGCCACTGGTGTTAGCCTAACTAGCATTAAAAGAATTTCCAAGCGATGACATCACTTTATCCTAAGACAACTCAATGCAAATGACGATTTTAAAAGCTGGCATCTGCGCATCGATGGGCCAAGTCTCTAGCTAGATTTGCCAAGCTGTACTACTACAACACTTACTGATGTATTTCGTAACTTTAACCCACTTCACTGTACCCCATAATTTAAGTTTGAAAACCAGTGATGCTTACTTCGCACTTCGCAAACTCGTTAAATAGGTATAAGGAATCCGAATAACAATAAGAACAGATTGGACAACTCTGGACAGTTGTTACGAATTAGAATAAAGTATGCAGAAACATAAGTTGCAGACGCTGAAGTCAGTTTAACTTGTTGATGCGCATTGTCAGTAGAAAATGTTTTGATTGGCTGCTTGAAATCACGTGTACTTTTTCAACGAAATAATTATTATTAATGTGTTAAACATTAACAAAATAATCTGTCGCCTTTGAAAATTAACAAAATGCTTACAAAATTGTATATTATCTTTACAAAACTTTTAGTAAAATATTTTCCTTTGTTAAAATAATTACAAACCCTGGTTTCATACAAAAAATTATGTTAAAATTTTACAAAATAAAATAACAAACTTCAAACTCATATTAACAAATCTGATTTTTATAACAGTGTTTAAGCAAAAATAAAACGAACTTTAAAGTGCACGAAATAAAACTTCCAGTAACCAGAAGTCTGTAGTAGATAAGTCTGAACAAAACAAAAAACTGGCTCAGCGCGCATGCTCCAAGTTTTCCGCAAAAGCACCTGTTAGATTTCCTCGGACAGCGTCAGTGCTGCATTTCCTTTTGGTCGGTCAGGACGCAAGGAAAACCGTCGGAAAATTCGCGCCGTTTTCCGATTTTTCCTTCAAAAACTCGAACCAACGACTTTGTTTTGTTTTGTGACAGTTGGGGGTTCAAGATGTTATTCCCCATCGTCGTGGTGGCGGGTCTCTTTGGATTGTTTGTGGGGAACGTCAAAGCAGGTAAATATTTATATTCTTAAACAGTTTCAAATTCCAGTAGGTAATAATAAGAAATATCAAGAATTTTGAAGTTAAGTAAGCAGTCACTTTTTTGGTTAAATTAAAAATATAAAAGTTTTCCATTTGTAGACACACGGTATAACTACATAATATAGTTACAGTTTAACTCGCATAAATAAGTTTAGTAACTTTTATAAATAGGGTAAAAAAGTTTTGTCGGTAAATTGGATTTATTTTAAATTAATTTTGTGTCATTTCAGTAACTATAGTTACTGTAAGTAAAACTCATGTTAATATGTTCCAGCATTTGAGGATTTACAGTTGAGAAAGCATCTTGAATTCTATTTATAAGGTTTTGTTCGTTTTGAATTGTAGTGCTTTAAAATCGAAAGAGGTAAGATCTGGGGATCTTGGTGGTCATGTTATGGGTCCATTTCGACCTATCCGCTGCCCGGTAAATTTCCTATTTAGTCGAACTCTGTTGCTGAAGCTCACTATTGGGAATATACTGGATACCGGATGTTTCAATCCCTGTCACGAAAACAAATTTCCAGGGAGCCATATCAGTTTAAAACTTGGCCAAGAATTACCCTTCCACATTTTTTGACAATAAATTTACAATATAGGACTTAATATTCCCATGATTTTTGTGCAATCGCGATGGCCAACAATAAATGATCAAATTGTGCCCAACAATATGCAAAAGCAGTTTGGATTAAGTTAGGTAATAATGTTTGGGCATGGAACAACGATGACAATTTTTTTATGTTTATTTGGGCAAATATTAGGCTTTTGAAAAATTTACCAATGACATGATAATGGTAAATATTTGAACAAATCCAGAGTATTTACAAATATTATAATTATATTTGAAAGAATATTACTAAAAAAGCTTTTTATCATTAAAATCTATTAATTTTTGAAGAGTATTTGAAAGTTGAGTAAATAAACTATACCTACAGTGTGTCTACTTAAGTTGGCAACATATGGGAAATATTACAAAAAATTATAATTATATATATACTTTTAAAAAAAATTTGGTTTTTTATGAAGAATCCTAAGAAAAGTTTTTTAATTTGTTTTGTAAAATAAGTCTTTTCTTTAATTTCTGGGACGTTGCTTGACGTTATTCAAGGCCACGTCAAAGGACCTCTACAGCCCAAGGAGGAGGAAATCTCTCGTCTTCATATAAACTCTTTAGAAAAAATACTGTTATACGTGTTATAATGTTATGAGAGAAATATAATTACGATAAGGCTATCAAGAATTATGTTTTACTGAACATTAAGAACTTATTGTAAAATTGTTTGTGATTGGTAACTTTAATAAGTAGAACTTATTTTTAAATTGTCCTGCTTGTAATAAAAGCCGTGTACATATAAACACTATTTACCTAGAAAAAGGCAGTTCTTTTTCTTTACTGCAACTTCATGCAACGAGATGAAAATCTGTAACAATAAACAAAATTTATATTACTTCAAAATTAACGAGGGAATAACAATCTTCGAAAATTAATAAATTGTATAGGTAATAGTTGAATTATTTATTAAAAAACTTAAAAACATAACCTTAATTACTTACTCAAAATTTAAAGACATTTAAAATTTTTTTGTAAATCTTTCACACAAGCACTTTTTACTCCTTTCTGTAGAGAAGGTCTTGAAACATTAATTTACTTTTTACGACGTACCTATAACTCGCTATTGCGCATAGTAAACTGAGTCTTTTTCCATGCTGATCCATTATTTGCCAAGTTTCGATCAACCTGCATTACAAGCGCTTTGCCAATTTTCGACCAAACTTCATTACAAACGTTGGCCAAAATTAACTCTACTTAAGTCTTTAGTTTAATCAGTGGCGGCTGGTGGATTTTATGTAAACCAACCCAGATAGCACCATTCGTCCAATGGACGTCCGTTTAAGATCCATTTTAAGTACATTGGTCCACGGACTAAAAATGGATGTACTATGTACGTCCATATATTTACATCCTTTAAAGGTACGATTTTAATGGACGTCCATATAGTGTCCATTTTACATCCATAATTATTATTACAGAAATGCAAGTTAAAACGTATTGTTGGCTGCATAACAACAGTTATGATCAATCTCACTGACATTCAAGCAAGCGCGTGCTATAAAGGACTTAAGCTATCAATGAAATGTTAAACACTTGTAGTATTGCAAATGTAATGTTCCTGAGTCGAATACAAGGATTTCCTGCAATGTTCAACATTGAATGTTGTAACTTTTAACCACTTTTAGAATATTTATATTCCTAGTGAGATTGTTACTGAGCCAGACAAAAGGCATTTCAGTCATGTTGTAGAAAATTTTCTGCAACATCGCAATTAAATACAGTCGCAAAAAACAGTTAAAGCAAGCAAAAAAAGCAGGTCCTGGATGCTGGAGGAATGGTTCAAACACCTTATAGACGTCCATCGGTGGACGACTTATGGATGTCCAA